AAAAAAAAAAAAAAAAAAAAAAAAAGAAGCCATCAGTATAGATCTCAAGCACATTCAAAAGATTAAGAAAGTAGTATTATAAACTATGGGCATAGAAAATCCTAACAGCCTAACATAGAGGTTTAAGACCTCTATGCAGTAAACAAAAAATATAAAATATTATTTTAAAAAGTGAAGATCGTAAAAATAAAGCAAGATTCTATCTCAGAAAAAAATCTGCAGGCATGCAAATAAGGTAAAAATGGCCCATAATAACATTTGACCCTGCCCAAAGGTGAACCTATTAATGATTTGGCAGTCATTACTCCAGATTTTGTTCTCTGTGCATGAGATGTGATCAAAATATATGGTAAATGTTTAAAATTTTTTAAAAATGTAATACATTAAAAGACACTTTTCCATTAACCCCCTCAAAATATTACCCTCTCACTTCGAACACACTTACCCTATCATTCTTGTCATTTTGTGAAGTACTTCTCAAAGTCCTCTTTCATGTCTTTAAAAAGTATGATAAAAAACGTATGTTGAGTGCTGATGCCAAGGGCCATCGAACAGAAAGGCAGGCTCATAAAAACACACAATATTGTGTGTCATCATCCACTTTACTAATCAGATCTGGTACCGTGTGACTTCCGGCTCTTCCCCAAAGTCAAAATGACCAAGCAATGTAAATATTTTGAATCAGTTCAGGACATCGAGGCAGCCATAATGGCGCAACTAAACACTCACCAAATAGGACTTCCTGAACTGCTTCAGAAAGTGACAAGATCAACAGGATAAGTGTGTTTAAAGCAAGAAGTGCCATAGTGTGAGGCAGATTAATGGCAATGTGTCTTACCATAATAAATTTTTAAAAATTTAAGCATTCACCATAGTTTCTGATCACACCTCATAATTACTTATAGTTTAAAATACGCATTTTTCACACGAGCAAACTAATGCATATTCCTTAGACTTGTGATCTAATACCGAACAAATCCGTATTAGAAGCATGTGAGAAGATTTTGGAAACCAAAGTCCAGGGCCATCCTAGAGTCCAGATCACCTGCTGGCTATGTAGGAATGGGGTACCATTGGGCGGTCAGGAGATTTAAGGATCAGATCTCACCCAGGAATAAGATGCAGTTTTTGGCTTTTTTTGTCTTGGTCCGCTTGTAACATTTTTGTTGTTTGTTTTATAATAAATTGAGTTGATTAAAAGGTCTTGGAATCCAGTTGGAGAGATGGGTGTTGGTGAGCAGATATCTAAGAATTCCTGGTGAAGTTACTCACTAACCAGTGACCCCTAACAACTCCATGGGGGACAGGTGGGAAGGAGCCTCCGTGTCTCCGGGCTGGAAAGACTTGGGGGTCACAACAGAACAGCTGGCTTCACACCTCGGCTCTGTGTGAACCTGGAGAGCTGGCTCCGCTTTTCTGTGTCCCCATGTCCTCTTGGGCTAAGTGATGCGATAGTTTTCCTCACCCTTCGCATCTCAGAGGCTTAGGCTGAAGCTGTGCTGCCCTCAGCCCTGTGGACCCCTCGGTTAGAACAGCTGAGTCAGTGTCAGTGCCTGCAGGCTGAGGGTCGGAAGGGGACAGAGTCCCAGGCAACATAGCAAGGAAGTGGAAAGGAGCAACATAAATCACAGAAAAACTCTAAGAACTGAACAGGAACAGGTGGGATTTCCCACTTCTCAGACGGGGCTTCTAACCACCATGTTAGCCGAGGGGTGCCAAGATGCTGCTGTGGCCTTTATATATGGAAGCGTCCATGAATTTTAGGTCTCTGTGATGGGTCTACGCACTCCCGTGGAAACCCAGCCTGTCCAGCTTGGCAGTGAATTCTCATGTACTGAAATTGGAGCTGGCAGCCTGCTCATCCAGACCTCTGCTCGCCCAGACGGATGTGTCCACTGTGATGCTGTCTTCGTGTCCACGGTGAGTGACCAACCTGGGAGGAGAGAGGGCAGGGTTCAGAAACTACCAAAGAACTGGGCTTGAGGGAAATCTACTCAAGGCAGCCCCTCACATCCTTAGGACACACAGGCTGGCATCTTTCCCCTTCCCACTTGTCCTCCCTGGGAAATCCAAGTGAGAATGTGCAGCTTGAGCCACATCTGAGCCACTAAGCAAAAGCTCTGGCCTCCCTGGCATTCTGCCTTCTAATCCCTACCAGGGTCTGAACGGGCTCCTGCGAAGTGATGGAGAGAGGCAGGCAAAGTCAAGCATGGAAAGCACTTTGTGAATTCAACTCTGTTGGGCCTTCTTAATCCGTGCTCTTCAGGTGATCTCTCAGGACATGCGAACACAGTGGCAAACACATGAAGGGGGCAGCAACGCGGGCAGAGGGAAAGTTTGGCCTAGAGAAGTATTCTCTGCGCTTCAAAAGAAACGTTTGCCCCACTACAAATTCCTTTTTCTTTCTTATTTTCCAAAACTGGGGATTGAACCCAGTCCTCACAAATGCTAAGGAAGCATTCCTCTAGTCCTTTTAAATTTTTTTATTTTGAGAAAGGGTCTAATTAAGCTGCCCAGGCTGTCCTTGAACTGTGACCCTTCTGCCTCAGCCCCCTGAGCAGCTGGGATTACAGGCATCACCATGCCCGGCTATAAATTATCCTTAGTTCATTCTTTACCCAGGTCTCCTGCTTGGTAAGGCTACCCTTATCAGTGTGGACTGGAATGTCTCATGGATAAATGGCTCTAAATGCATTGCCACTGGGCTTATCTGGGGCGTTAGCTGGAAAGTCTACCTCACAGCCTGCCACATACCCATCATTTGATTGGGGTCTGTCGTGAGCTTAGCCTCTTCAGTGTCCTGGGGAGTGGATCAAACAGCGGTAGAGAGCCAGAATTTTGTGGTCAGGCTGAGTCTGGGTCACAAATCACTGCATATCCTTGGGCAAGTCACTGAGCAAGCCCCGCTTCTCATCTGTGCAACAGGGAGATGATAGTGCTCTCCACACAGCAACTCTGAGAAATGAAAAACTCACACAAAGCATCGAACAATGCCCAAAACTCAGGAATCTTCATCAAGTATTAGCTATTACACTCAGGACAAAAAGGACAACGCGTAAAGTCAGCCTTTCCTCAGGGAGGCAGAGAAGCCTATGGAGGCCTCCTTGTATGCTTTGCTGACTGAAATGGTCTCCACGTGAATAATGGTTCTCCTCAGCTGAAAGGAAGCTAGGGGCCTTTGGCCCAGGCCTCAGGCTCAGAAGACTCGGACTTCAGCTGACACACAATGGTGAGTCATGCAGAGGAGCCAGCAGGTCTTGTCCCAAAGGTCAGCCGTAACTGAAATCACTCACCCACACAGCTCCGGTGCCTATGGCTCCAATGCAGGGACCTCAGCTTGACCGGGCAGATTCCTGTTCACACATTGAGATGTTATCCAAGCCTCCCACAGCACTTCATGAAGCAAGCGTGGGGGCCTAACCACAGCCACCTGCCCTAGGCGTGATTCAGTGTTCCAGCTTATTTATGAGAGACTGGGAATTCATTTCAAAATGTCAACCACTCCTCAGAGACTAATGGGCCCTACTGTGCCCAGTATCTTCACGGAGGTTGTCCTTCTGTGCCTCAGGGGCTCTGCACTCCAGGAACATCCATCATGGTGTCTGGGGTGAGGAGCTACTGTGTCATTAAGTCAACCAAATATGTTGGGGAGCAAGTGATCTGCCTGCGCCCCACAGGGGTGAGTGCTAGGAAGTCTTAGCTAGAAGCTATGTCCATGGGATGGGAACACAGCAGTTCAACCACCCAGAAACAATAACCAGTACATTGGACAAGTGGATCTCATGGAGTGTACTGGGGTTTATGATGTTCTCCCATCATTCGCCTGTTGAAACCAGATCTGCAGGGCTCTGATCCCAACCATGGGTGAATCTCTGGCAGCTTTTGTGCCTCTCTTGTTCTCTTGTAATTTTAAAAATTCCTATAGCCCGGTGATGGCGAACCTTTTAGAGCTTTTAATGATAATGCATGTGCCATAGGTTCACCACCACCTCTCTAGTCACTTTATAAGCATTTATTATGGATAATTCTATACATGACCAAAAAAAAAAGGCAGTGGTATAATAAACCTCCATGTAACCAGTTTTATCAATTCGCATCTCCTCTCAACATACCCTCCATTTTTGGTGGAATAGTTTAGCATTCTCGTTTCTTTTCTCATTTTTTGGTACTAGGAATAGAACTCAGAACCTTGCCCTTGCCTGGCAGGCACTGTGCTGCTGAGCTATATCCCCAGCCCCTTGGTGGACTATTTTAAAGCAAATTCTTTGATTGTTTTCAGAGACAACAACGGCCTTTGCTCAATAATGAGTAAATCAAGCCAAGCAGAATGATTAGCAGAAACTTCTCTGGCTCGAGTTCACTCTCCCACCCAGAACACTACGGGTCTCAAAAGGGGTCTTGGGTCGGGGACTTCTCTGTTCCTCTCCCCTAGTTTCTTCTCCTGCTCACAGCTGCTTTGGAACAGTAGAGGCTGCGCAGATCTCCTGCTACTGTCAGGCTGAGGCAAGATCAGCCGCAAGTTTCAGAGTGGCTGTTCATCTCTCCTCCGTAGGCTTCGCCCATCCCCAGTGCTGACCAGCATGGAGACTGGTGCCATCTGATGGCCTGGGCTGGACAGCAGCGCGATGCATGCTAGGTAAATAAAGATGGTGTGGCCGCTTTCCCTATGAAGACACGTTTTCCGTGGAAAGAAATTCAGGGAACGGGGGAAGTAAGGAGACTGTGCAGTGCTTTCCCTCACTGAGGAAAATGCACGATTTCCTTTCCTGCTTGGGCCACACTTGCGAACGCAGTGATCGCTGGCACTTCCTGCCTCGGACGGCCTTGTCCAGCGTGGTAACCAACAGCCACACGTGGCTAATGAGCACGTGACATGCCGTCGAACACACAGTGAGTCTCCAAACCTTGGCATGAAAAAATAATGTAAAATATCTCTGTAATATTTTCATACGGATGATACATTGAACTGAAAATGTTTACATATTACACTATATAAAATGTGTTAGTAAAATCTAGTTCACTTATTTTTTAAATTTTTTAATGCAGCTATTAGAAAATTTAAAATTACACCCAAAGCTCTTTCAGTGTGACCCAGAAGACTGAGCTAAAACCATGGAGTGAAATTATTACATTTTAATGTTACAAAAACCCACTGCTACTCCCCCACCCCTCCAAGGCCCTAGAGCCAGTGAAGATTTGGTTTGGATCCGTGCTAGCCGGGCCCCTTCATATCCATATTACACGTTATGAAACTGAGGTGACAGAAGTGACCACCAGGTTTGTAGCTACCCCTGTGTTGCTGCAGAGACTGAAAAATTATCCCATGCTCTTCTGGAGAAACGCTGAGAAAGATCAGTGTCATTCCTCCAGAAAACCCTTCCTGTCTCTATCTCAGAATGAAGTATCTCAGCATCTCAGCCACACGACAGCTGCGGAGCAGCGAGGCGAGGCTGCAGTCATTCTCGCACTGCCAGCAGAGAGGGGTGGTCATGAGCCAGCAGACAGCACATGGCCTGCAGAGGTCTGGGTCTGGGGTCACCAGAGGCCTTCAGCTGCCCTCCAGACCTGTTTGGATTGGCCCGCAGCATTGGACCGTTTCTTGAATCATGTGCCAACATTTAAACATTGGGAAACAGCAGTAAAAATATGAGTTTCCGGTTTCCCTGGAAATACTAGATCTAGTGGCAAAAGGCCGGCTCCTGCCTGGCAGTGGCTTGCTGCACTCAGCTGCTGCCTGCTGGGTGAGGTGTCACCCCCATCCCCTATGCCCCACCCCTCAAGGAGGCCCATGTGGGGCAGTGGACAGCTGCAATGAACTTCGTCTCCAGTTTTTCTTACGGTGAAGTTGAGAAGGAAAGTGAAGTATTTTTCATACATATCTGCACAGTATGATCAAAAAATAAGGCATGTGGAGAAAGAAATTAGGAAAAGAATATTCACAACAGCTTCAAGAAAAATTAAATACTTAAATGTAACCTAACCAAGGAAGTAAAAGGCTTTCACAATGAAAACAATAGTACTCTGAAAAAGGAGGTCAAACAGGACATCAGAAAGTGGAAAGATATCCCCTGCTACTGGATAGACAAACTTATACTGTCAAAATGGCCAAACTGCAAAAGGTGATATAAAGAGATTTAATGCAGTTCTGATCAAAATGCCAAAAGTATTCCACACGGAACCAGAAAAAAAATTCTAAAATGTATATGGAATCAGAAGAGCCCCAGAATAGCAAAAGCAATCCTGGGCAACAAAAACAAAACAGGAAGCATCACAGTCCTGAACTTCAAGTTATATTACAAAACTGTAGTGATAAAAACAGCATAGTACTGGCACAAAAACAGGCATGCAGATCAATGGAACAGAATAGAGGCAGCAGAAACAAACCAGGCACATTAAGTCCTTTGATCTTTGACAAAAGGGCCAAAAGCATACACCAGAAGAAGACAGCTTCTTAAACAAATGGTACTAAAAAATGGTTACATACAGGCAGAAGATTGAATCTAGGCCCCTATCTATCACCATGCACCAAAATAAAATCAAAATGGATCGAAGACCTAGATATTAAAACAGAAACATTTAATGTGATGGAAGATAAAATAGGTAAAACCCTTGAAGACACAGATAAGGATTTTCCAAATTACAAAAGAAATAACACCAAGAATCAACAAATAGCATTATATAAAATTAAAAAGCTTCTGCACAGCAAAGGAAATAAGGAATAGAATAGACAACATATAGAATGGGAAATAATTTGGCAGCTACTCCTCTGACACAGTGCTAATATCTAGAATATGTAAAGAACTCAAAAAAATGAGACCCTCACCAAAATAAAAGACCCAATCAAAAAATGAGTAACTGAAATGGATAGACACTTTTCAGAAGCAAAAGTATAAATGGCCAGTAAACACATGAAAAAATGTTTAACATCTCTGGCCATTAGAGAAATGCAAATTCAACAATACTGAGATTTCATCTTATTTCAGAGAAAATGATCATCATCAAGAAATAAAACAATGACAAATACCAGAGAGGTTGCGGGGGGAAAAGGAACCCGTCTGCATTGTTGGTGGGAATGTGACAACCACTGTGAAAATCAGTATGGAGAGTCCTGAAGATAAAACTAGAAATTCCATTCAACCAAGGTACACCTCTCCTGGGTATCTTCCCAAGAATGAAAGACATACTGCACTGATGCACGCACATCCATGTTTATAGCAGCACAACTCAATAGCTAAATCTTAGAAGAAGCCTACATGTCCATTAAAAGATAAAGAAAATTGGTATTTATATACAAGGGAGTACTATTCTACCATAAAGAAAGATAAATGAGTCAGATTTGGGAAAATGGATGTCCCTTGAGACCATAATGTTATGTGAAATAAATCAGACATACAAACTTAAATACTCTATAACTTCACTTATATGAGAAATCCAAAGTATAAGTATATTTAAAGAGCAATAGGAAACAGAAAGATCTTTTATAAATGAGAAGGGATCTCAAATGTAGAGGAGAAGAAGGGGAAGGGTGAGGGATAAAAAGAATTAAGATGTATACATGTAACTACTCTCCACAATGAATGCCATCCTTAAATACTACAAACATATACTAATAAACAATGTTTAAAAGTCGGTGTATGTTTAATTTAAATATTTATTGTAATAAAAGACACGTTACTATTAATCTCCCCACAGAATACTCCCCCTCTCTTGGAACACACTTATGCTATCATTTTTGCCGCTTTCTGAAACAGTTCCAGAAGTCCTCTTTTGTGAGTGTCTTTAGTTGCACTGTTGTGGCTACCTCAAGGTGCTGAATTGATTCAAAACACTTACCTTTCATGGTCATCTTGACTTTGGGGAAGAGCCGAAAGTCACATAGTGCCAGATCAGGTGAGCAAGGCAGATGAGGACACACCTTTTCCATTAAGACGGTACTGGCTGCAGCATTCATTGTGTTTCTCATCACACCTTGTAAAGACACTAATGAAAGAAGACTTCTAGAACTGCTTCAGAAGGTGGCAAGAGTGATGGGATAAGTGAGTATGAACTGAGGGGAAATACTATGAGGGAGATTAGTGTCCATGTATCTTTTACTGTAATAAATTTTTTAAAAATTTAAACATTCACCATATTTTTCAGTCTACCCTTGTATGTCTCTACCAAAAGGCTAGAAAGTCATATTTAACCCAAAAGAGCCTCATATTTTAAGAAAAAAAAATTTTTTTGTACCCACTTGTTTCTCACATTGTCTGATCAGGCACCAGCCAGTTTGCCATTCTGATCTAATTTTTTTCTGCTGCACCCCATGACAGAAAGGAAGCCAGATTACCCATCATGAGGAAACTGGGGTGCTAAGAAGCAGCCCTCCACTGACTATAAGGAATGGGCTCAAGTGGGGTACCCCAGACTGAAGGGTCCTGAGGACTTTGTCTTCTTTTCAGTTTTCTAACATCCCAGGGCCAAGTCATCAAGGTTTGTGGGGCCAGGCCTGCAGGTGCTTCTGCCCCAATGATAGGTAATACACCCCAGAGGAACATCCACCCCAAGGCTCCTCCAGAGTCGCCTCCAGGATGGAAAACAAAAGGACACAGTTCAAACTAAACTGAGGAAGGAGGAAACATCCCAGAGAGCGGTGGCCTCCAATGAAAAAGTGCTAGGCACTCTGCTACTTTTCCCTACCAGCCACCTCTGCACTTGACACCATGATAGCCTGGGTCCCCTGAGGCCAGTCCTGCCTCCAGGGTGTGTAACGGGTCACAGCCTGCAGCTCCCAGCTTTCAGAATAGGCCTGTCCTGTGAAGTGGGCCCAACAGCCAGAAGCCAGCAGCCCTGAGAGCCAGCAGAACCCCTCTTCTCCCCCACTGAAAGGCCTGCAAAGGTGATTCATGTTTGTTGTCTCTCTCTCTGTCTCTGTCTCTGTCTCTCTCTTCTCTCTGCCTTTGCAGTACTGGAGATTGAAACCAGGGCTTTGACCCTGAGCTATGTTCCCCGCCCCCTTTTTTCTGAGAGAGGGTTTTACTAAATTGCTAAATTGTCCAGACAGGGCTCTAATTTGCAATCCTCCTGCCTCAGCTTCCCAGAGTGCTGAGATTACAGTCCTTTGCCAGCACTTCCAGCCTGCAAGCTCTTAACTGTCAGGAGGCCGAGAGGTGATGGTTCTTGCATCCAAATGAGCCGGCAGGACCAGACAGAGGAAAAACCACTTGTTAGCGACGTGGAAGGAGGAGCACAGGTCCAGAGACCTCAGGATGGGACAGGCCGGAGAGCAAGGCCTTTGCCCTGAGCCTCCCTGCTGAGCGAGGCTCTGCCGCCTTCTGAGAACATGGGGCCCTGGCTCAGTCCCTGTGCAAGACAGAGGATGGTGTGGAAATAAAGTCAGTTGTCAGGAGTCCTGCACCATCTTGGTAGCTCCGGCCTCTGCAGGATCTGGGTATTGGGAGCCTCAGCGCGGGCTTTGCGCCCCTCGGGGTTGGCCCAGGGCCACCCTTTGGGGAGCCACCTTGGATGATTCACAGAGACAGATTCATGTTCTGGGTACCCTGGCCCTGGGCAGTGCCTATCTAGAGCGGAGGGAACTAGGAGGATCCTCGGAGGACCAAGTCTCCTGCGCCCTTGGCGGGGCAATGGCGACACCCAGTGGTGGCCGCGGGAAGCCAGAGAAGAGCCTTCGAAGCCCTGAGCCACGCTGTCTTGCGTTGCCCCAGCTGGGCAGCTTCTCAGCTTTCCCTGCCGAGAGGACTGCGCTCTGGCCGCCTTTCCTAGGTGGCCTTCAGCGCTGCCACCTAACGGGCAGATCACGTCCACAGTGGGGCACCCAGTTCCAGTCCCTTCTCGGGCTCCCAGGGTCGGGAGTGGCGGAGCCTTAGGTGGCCCTGAAGGCCAAGACCTGCCCCGCATCTTCGCCTCTAGTCTCACCTGGTCACCTGTTGCGTCTCCCAATAAACATTGCTCTTGCAGTCCTTTCTCCGGGTTCCTGGGAAAAGGGGCTCCATGGCAACTGAGGTCACTCTGCCAGCTGGGATCAGAGGAGCTCCAGAGCCTGAGACTGGAGAGGGCCACCAGTCCCCAAACAGGACACAAAAGTAGCCCCACTGTGTGAAGTGTATAGTCAGGCCCATCCCTCCAAAAGCAAGTGACACCCCAACACTTTGTGCTTTTCCTTTAAGACTGCACTTCCTTGTGTGTTCCTAGGCACGAGGCCCAGTGTTAAGAAAGTCACATTCATTTTTCTCACACCAGACCTGAAACAGTTACATGTCCCTGTGTTTTGCAGATAAAGAAAATGAGTTTGAAAGATGTTAAATAAGTTGTCAAAAGGTCAACGAGTCACAGGACTGCGACGTGACATTGGAACTGGGACTGTACGCTGCCTGATGTTTGCCAGTTACTGATTTGTAAAAAGTGAAAAAGGTGATTGTGGTAGCAGTGTTCTCACTCCGGGCAGGATAGTTTGAAACTCTGTGCCACCTCTTGTCTGAGCAGTACTTTGGTTGGTCCTCAATTTGTCAAAGAAGGGCAGTCCAGGATCCAAAAAGTGAAAAGCAACATCCTCCTGCCCTCGTTCTGCCTCAGAGAGTTTCAGGGACTTGCTCTGATCCTGCCCCGTATGCCCTTGGCCTTCTCAGCCTGAGGAGACTGCGTGTTCTCAGTGGGTCCCCATAAGATCCTTGCAGTGTGGCTTGGCCTGGCCTGACACTAACTTTTTAGAAGCCAACCTGCCACATTAACCATGTTCAGATCCTCGTGTAGAGCCAGCACCTCAGCAGAGTCACCTAAACCTCGCAGCATGGAGCCTGGTGCAGTGCACACATGCTGTGTGCCTGAAGAATGAACGAATGTTGTATTATTTAGGGCTGCAATAACGTGGCTTAAACAATGGAAATTTATTCTCTCACACTTGTAGAGGCCAGAAGTCTAAAGTCAGGTGAGGGCCCCAGCAGAGAAGGCTTCTTGCTTGCTCTCTCCTAGCGGTGGGTGGTGGTGGTGGTCTTTGGTGTTTCTTATCTAATACGGTACAAGAGATCTTTTCATGTTAGTCCACGTGGCCAGCTGTCTTTCTCTTCATCTAAGGACACCAGTTGTACAGCACCCACCTCAATGATCTCATCTTCACGTGATTACATCTAAAATGACTCTATTCCCACATAATGTCACATCACAGGCACCAGAGGTTAGGATGTAGACATATCTTTTGTGAAGACATAACTCAACCCATAACAACCATGAAGGGCAGTTTGCTCGTGGTCTGATTTTCAATTACAAAGCTCTCAGGGCTTGGTTCGTCACAGGAAGGTCAGTAGTACTTCTGGGTTGTGTTGTTTTACACACTGCGGAGGTGAACTTGTTTCTCCTGTGACTCCTTTCCTTTTTTATTAGCCTATCAGTGATGCTTTGTGGTCACTATAATGACTGTGTTTACTCTAAGCTTAAGTACCTGTGTTTCTCTCTTTCGTATTAGGTATAAAATGGAATATTAACTTGGAATAGAGCCTCTCCCTCTTGGGCAATGGCAAGAACATTCTACTCTAAATAAGTCAAGCCGACCTTGCATTTTTACCGAAGCTCACACTCCTCTGACTGTTCCTTAAGCCTCTTCACAGTCCAGCCCCAACTCCCCTTCCCGGCTGCTCCTCCATTCTCAAACTCCCGGGGCTCCGCACAGTGCTGATTTGTCCTTCCCTGAAATGCCCCTTGAGCTTCCACCCCTGTGCCTTTGCTGTATCCCTTCCGGAAGCCTCTTCCCATATCTAGCGTCTCCTTTTGATTTTTTTTTTTTTTTTTTTTTGGTTTTTCTCCGGTACCGGGAACCGAACTCACGACCTTGCGCTTGCCAGGCAAGCGCTTTTGCCGCTCAGCTAAATCCCCAGCCCCTAGCGTCTCCTTTTGAGATTCTCGCTAGTCTTTAAGGTCAAATTCAAAGGCAACCTCCTCAGGAAGCCTTCCCTGATCCTCCACCTTCTCTCCCTCAGAGGGCTGGTGGCCCTGGTTAACCTTTGGTAAACCACTACCCACAGGCTACTCTGGTCAGAAGGACTTTGTCTTTCCTCCTCCTCCCTCCCGTCACAAAGCAAGAATGAAGAGAAGTCTGGCGGCCCTCATAGGAGATAGAGCTGAGGGTGCTGGGGCTGTTTCCTTGGAAGAGATGCATACCCTAAGCTTCCTTCAACTGCTGAGATTCTATCAGACTATGAGCACCTTACGGAAACTACTCCTGGTTTCTTTGGTAGTCCTTTACACACACATGTGCACACGTCTGTGCCTGGCATAAGCCATGCTCAAACTCCGACTCCTGTCTGATGTAAGAGTCATCCGCTTATCAGGTGATGTGGGAAGCAGAATTCTAAGATGGCCCCAGGATTTCCTGCAGCCAGGTGCATATGTCCAAAACAATCCCAGGACTGAGAGAAGATCTTAACCCAGTGACTAAGCTATGCTGTATGGCATATTGACTGAATATAGGGAGATGACCTGGGTGAGCTTGACCTAACCCCAAGAACCCTCAAAAAGCAACTGGCCCAGGAGGGAGAACAAGAACTTCGAAGTGAGAGATCTGACAGGAGGGCCTGGTGGGTGAGCCAGAGCAAGCCACATAGCAAGGATGTGAGTGGCCTCTAGGAGCTAAAAGCAGTCAGACCCTACCTGGTGCAGGAGCTAAGAGCAGCCAGCAAGACAATTGGACACAGGTTCACAACCGTAAGAAAATGAATTCTGCCTACGATTCAAGCAGATCTCTACCTGGTCAAGCCATCAGATACAGCTGCAGCTGGCTGGACTCCTGACCGTAGGAATGGTGAGCCAGTGAGTGGGGGTTATTTTAATTTGCTCTGCATGTGAAAAGTATCCTATTAGTAGTGGGGAAATACAAACTAAAATAACAGTAATACATGACTCTTAATCCAGGGTGAATGGCAGAAACTCCTGAACTTATCCAGTGTGGACAATAATAAGGAAATATATGAGCATACCAACACACATATGATAACACTTCAAAATAAGGCTTTCTGATGTGACAATAAAAAATTGAAAAGGCTGAGGCAAGAGAATCAAAAGCTTAACCCCAGCCTGGGCAACTTAACAAGACTTTGTCTCAAAATTTAAAAACAAACAAACCTTTAAAACATGGCTGAGGATTTAGCTCAGTTCAAAGGTACTTATTTCAACTGCCAGGGAGAAAATGGGCATATGCTTCAATATAGAATTTAACTTCTAAATATGTCCTAGAAAAATACTCAATTACACATGTGAAAGGTGTTTACTGTAGCATTTTTACAGTACTCAGAAACAAGGTAGATATCTATCAATAAAAAAGTGGTTGTACAAATTGTGCTATAATATTCTGGGAATACTGCAGTTTTTGTTTTACTAAGAGGTAGCCTATAACAGACTAACATGAAAAGATCTCTTGCACCATATTAGATAAAAAAAAATTACTCTGCAGAACAACACTTATAAACCAACTGATTCTGAGACACATTTTGTTACCTGTCAAACTCTCCGAAAATCAGAAGACCCTTAATCACAGTTTAAGTACTACCAGTCTAGTGCTATCAAAATGTAGCTATATTGCATAAACATATAAAGACCTCTTACAATTTAAGTTAACAAACCATTTTAAGGACAATTTGAGAAGGGAATGTGAGTCCTGGCTGAAAACTTTCTGTTAACATCTTATAAGATCAAGAAAATTCTTATGCTATTTTGTAAATGGATGGCTGTTTGTTAATATGTTTTCCTTCTATTTTTTAAAATTAAAAAAAAAAGCCCAAGAAAGTGCCAACAACAAGAATTGCAGAATGTGTGTTAGCAACTTGGAAGAAAATTCCTGAGACAGCAGTAGTCTTGGAAGAAACGCTGCATTCAATGCTTGTAGAGGGAGTGAAGACAAACACGGTGTGTGAAAACAGGGATGTGGGCAATTCTGGTCAGAAGTCACTTAAAACAATCAGATTCTCAACATCAACATATTTCTGCAAACACTAGGACTAATTTTTATTTACATTTTCCATTTACTGTCTGGTCATTATATGGGACACACAGTTATATGCACATAAGACTACACAAGCTCTTTCAATAAATGTAGAATAAAAATTATAACTGAAAGGCAATGCCATAATTCACCAGACAGTACATTCTCTGCATGATCTATGTGGTGCACATTATTATTGATGGTATCCTGTATCTGATAATCTGATGTAGTATGATTTCATTAGTGCTAGCAGAAAATGAATTTTATATGTGTATAAACATATTGATACTAAATCCATTGAGAAAAGGCTATATAAAAGCACATACACCACCTGTGAAGAGTTACCTTTGGGGTGAGAGACGAGCAGTAAAGAGGTCTTTAACACTACTCTGTGTCTGAGTCTTTGCAACAACACTGTACAGTACTCTATGAAATTTAAAATACATATTACATATAATAATATACTACTATATTACTATATAATATCACCATATGTTAAATAGTACATAAATTATAAAGCTATAGGAATATTGCCCTGTTTGGCAGACAGATCAATGGAAGTGAACAGAAAGCTCAGAAATAGCTCAAAATACAAGTGAGAATTTTAAAATTTTATACTGTTTTATTTGTGGTACTGGGGATAAAACCCAGATCCTTGAGCTTGCTAGGGAAGCTCTACCACTGAGCTGTATTGCCAGCCCTTTATTTTGAGACAGGGTCTAAGTTGCCCAGGCGGGGCTCAAGCAAAATACCCAACACCCACAACTTAATGGAGGACAGGCTTACTTTGCCTCACTGTTTCCGTCCAAGTTGTCTGGCTCTAAGGCAGAAACAGGATGGCAGAGGAGTATGGTGAAGGGAAAGGTATTCAACCCATGGCAGCCAGGAAGGAAAGACCGGAGGAGCAGGGAACAAGAATGTATCCTTCCAGGTCAAGTCCCTGGTGACCCACCTCCAACAAGACCCTATCTCCCGAGAGGACATTCAACTACAGAGCTCATCACTGACGGGTATCATGCCCCTGCAATCCAGTCACTTCTCACACACATGAGAATTTGGTGAACGCTACTTTTTAAACATTTTATTAGTATATGAATATGTCATACACATGGATCACATTCATTGCAGGGAATTTGTACCTGTATATAATATCTTAATCCTTTTTTCCCATTCCCCTCCCCTCCCTTCAATCCTTCTTTCCCTTTCCACTTACACAACCTTTGTTTCCATTTTTCTTCTTCTATTCTCTTTTCATTTTCCCTTCCTTCCCTTTCCTCTCCCCTTTTCTTGTTCCCCTTCCCATTTGAACATGTTTTTCCTACTTCAGTTTAAGAAACATTTTAGATCTAAATCCTAAACAATCACCATTTGGTGAAGCTTTCCTCCATTAAATTACTTTTGTGTCTTTGTCAAAAGTCTGCTTTGTATTTATGTGGGTTCTCTATTCTGTTCCGCTTGATTATGGTAGCTATGAAATATCTTACAACCAGATAAACTGATTATCCCAATTTTACTGTTTTTCAAAATTGTCAGCTATTCTGGTTTATCTTTACACATAAATCTTAATATAACCTTGCCTGTATTCAAAATTCCTGCAGAGACTTTGGTATAAATTGCATTAGGCCTATAAATTTTCATAAAATTTGGGGAAAACTCACATCACTACTGTGTTGTGTTCCAATTCATGAACATGGTATGTTTCTCCATTAATCTAGATCTTCCGTTTACCCACACTGTAATTTTCAGCATGTAACTCCAACAGATGTTTAAGTAATTATAAATGGAATTATGTTTGTGTCTACATGTTCACTGCTAATAAACTACAATTAATTTTTGTATGTAGGGCTTATACCCTATGACTTCACTGGATTCCCTTACTAGTTACAGGACTTTTCTATAATCATGTTATCTGCAGAAAAGAACCATTTTGTTTCCTTGAAATTTATATGCTTTTACTTCTTTTATTACAGTGTAGCCTAACTACACTGGCTAGAACTTTCAGTACTTGAATTAGAAGAACTAGAGCTTTCAGTGATCAAGATAGCTATCCTTGACTTGTTCTGGATCTTAAGTGGAAAGCATTCACTTTTGTACCATTAAGTACAACATTAGCTTCAGGGTTTTTAAAAATAGGTGTTCTTTATGAAGTTGAGGCAATTTTCCTATATTCCTTTTACAAGTTTTTATAAACAATGGGTGTTGAATTTTCTCACATGCTTTTTCTTGCACCGAGATTTTTTTTAACCCAATATCATACTGGATTTCGCTGATTCCCAAATATTGAACCAGTGTTGCATTCCTGGAATAAACCCCACTTGATCCTGGTGTAATACCATTCTTGTTTTATATGGTGGTGAATTCAACTTGAAAATATCTTGTTAAAGATTTTTTCATGAATATACATGACAGATATGGTCTGCAGTTTATTTTTTCAGAGTGGTGCTTTTTATCAGGGTAATGCTAGCATCATAAAATGAATGTGAAGCATCTCCTATTTTCTGAAGAACACTATAGGACCATTATTCTTTATTTGGTAAGAATATTCCAGTGGAACCATCTAGGCCTGCATTTTTTTCCATCTTGTTTCTCTTTTTGTTTTTCTTCCAGTACCAGGAATCGAACTCACGACTTTGTGCTTGCCAGGCAGGCACTGTGCCGCTGAGCTAAATCTCCAGCCCTTTTCGATTTTTAAGATTCAAAATTAATCTAATTTTCATAATAACCATAGGCCTACTCAAAATATGTTTTATACCGGATTTCCTTTTTTCAAGAAATTACTCTTTTGTATAGGCTGTGAAGTTTATGTGTGTCACAGTTTGCAGTATTCCCTTACCATTCTTGTGGTATCTGCAATCTATAGTGCCATACCATTTCATTCCCGAACTATATCTTCTCTTTTCCTCTGTCAGCCTTGTTAGAAGTCTGTCATTTTTACTTTTTCCAAAGAACCATCTCTTTATTGCACAGATTTTTATTGTTTTTGCTTCAATTTTACTGATTTCTGCTCTCTTTGCTTTTTTCTGCTTGCTTTGGCTTATTGTGCTGTTCCTTTCCTGGGTGCTGCAAGTGGGAGCATAGAATGCTGATTTGAAACCATGTGTAGTACTACAAGCCTGTAAACCAAGCATTCTAGGAGGATGAGGTAGGAAGTACCCAAGTTTCAGCCCAGCCTGAGCAGCTCAGTGACTTAGTAAGACCCTGTGTGAAAATGAAAAAGGGCTGGAGATGTAACTCAGTGCAAAGGTTTAAGTCCCAACACTGCAAATGCTGATTTGAGATTTCTCCTCATTTCTAAGGTCCGCATTTAGCACTACAAATTTCTTTGGCACTGTTTTAACCATATCCCACAAACATATTTCCATTTTCATTCAGCTCAGTGCTTTGCTTTTACAATTTCCTTTAACTTCCTTTTTGTTCCATGGGTTACTTAAAAGTGTGTTGTCTATTTTCAAGTGTTACAGGATGTTCCTGTTATCCTTATTGCTAGTTTGAGTACAATGTGGTCAGCGAATACTTTGTATGATACTATCTAAAATTTTATTTTGAATTTTGAAAATAAAATTTTGAATTTTATTTAAAATACAAAATAAAATTTTGGGTTTTATTTAAAATACAAAATAAAATTTTGGGTTTTATTTAAAATACAAAATAAAATTTTGAATTTTATTATCCACGATGATCTACAATGATGTATGTTGTGTTTGTACTTGAAAAACATGTGTTGTTTTACATTTTTAAATGACAAGTCACTATAAATTTTGGGAGCACAGTATGAAATTTCAATTCATAGACACAAAAAGGATCAGGTCAGGGTAATTAGCATATATATCACCTTAGAACTTCATTGTTTCTTTTTGTTAGCAACACTGAAATATTAATTACCCTACTGTGCTAAATAATATTGGAAGTACTAGAGACCATACTCATAAGTGAAATAAACCGGACCCACATGTGTAAACATATTGTCTCCCTGGTGTAGCAACCTGAAAGAGTAAGTAAAACTCAAAATGTACAATGGATGATAGGAAAGGGAAAGAAATTGCTCAAAGGAAGGAACAACTGGGATGAGGGAAAGATGAAAAAAGAAAGGAAGAAGGGCAAAAAAATATATATATATATTTATTAGAATAGCTGGGATGACTGTACTGCTGATGTCTGATGGTATATTGAAAGGAACAGTTAATGCTCAAAATTTTTTATATTTTGACCAATTCTGCATGCTTATATCTGGTAATCTGAGCAACTGATTTGAAGACAATATACAATGGAACAACCATTGGTGAATTCCTACCATCTTGTCTAGTGAAACTCTATTATCTCTAATGTTGTATTTAATAATGTTTTTTATTCTCTTTAATGGGTTGAACAATCTTCCATTCTTACATCTGGTAATCTGAGCAACATAGTTGAAGATAACAATATGTAATATAACTGCTAATTCCTATCACTTTGTTTTGAAACCCTGTATCACTTTTAATGTTCTTGCTTTATTTTGTTTATGTCTGTGATGTTGGTATGTTGCTGTTGTTCTTTTTACTACTCTTTAAAAATATATATATGTTGGAAGTTATTCCTCCTATCCAACTGTACTACAGAGCTGTTAACTATCATCCCCATAAAAGCCATGTTTTGTTGTTGGATGACTTATCCAACAAATGCCAACTAGATCTTGCCAACTGAGGGTGGTACTGAGTTCTTATGTCTTTGATGATTTCGTTTAGTTTTCTATCAGTGTACTGAAAGAGGGTATTATAGTCCCTAGTTACAGTTGTAGATTTATTTCTGCATTCAATGTTTCGGTTTGTTGTTGTTGCTTCACATTATTTTCCAACTCAGTTGTCAGCACATGCCATTTAGGATTATGTCTTCTTCATGTGTTTTTTAAAAAGACAAGCTCTTGCTATATTGTCCAGGATGGTTTTGAACTCCTGGTTCAAGCAATCTTCTTCTGAGCCTCCTCAGTAGTTAGAACTACTGGTGTATTTCAACACACCAAAATGACCTTTTTACCATTATATAATTTTGCTGTATCTCGTTTGTTTTTTTTTTTCTTAGTTTTGAAGTCTACTAGTATTAATACAGTCCACAACTGCTTTTCCACTTTTTCCTTGCAATGCTGGGGGTTGAACCCAGGGTCTCATACTCATTAGACAAACATCCTACCACTGAATAGTAGCATTTACTTGGTATATCTTTTCCACGGTATGTTACACTGAGTATCATTTACTTGGTATACCTTTTCCACGGTTTTTTCTTTTACTTTTTATATACTGTTGAAGTGAGTTTCTTTTAGAAGCATACTGCTGGGTCACATTCCTAACTCCATTCTGCCAATGGAGGACTGAAAAAGCTATATAAAAAGCCAATTAGGTATTTTTTGTTGTTGCTGTTCTTTTCCGGTACCGGGAATCAAACTCATGACCTTGCACTTGCCAGGCAGGTGCTGTGCCGTTGAGCTAAATCCCCAGCCCCCATTAGGTATTATTTTAAGAGTTCCTGCAGTCTAATATTACCACTCAGTGAAATATAGAAAACACACTCGTGAGTGAACCTTTATTTTTGATTTCAACTTTTAAATAGTTGTTCTATATACATTTAAAACCATCGTAGGCAGTGTTATAATCTTTGCTTCAACTATTACACATAACTTAGAAAATTCAACCGTGAAAGATTTACCCATATTGTTACTGTGTTTTTTCTTCCTTCATTCCTTCTTTTATCACTTCCTTTCTGTTTAGAGAACTTTCTTCAGTCATTCTCTTAGGGTGGGATATGCTGGCAACAATTCTCTGGTTTCTTTGAACCTATCCTATCCATCTGAGACTAAGGTGGTCCAGCAGAACTACATCAAAATATAGAACTGGATGCCACCCTTAAAGTGACCAGAACCAAAGAATTACTCTTTTATGGCGTCATGGGCTGAAGGGAAAAGGCATAGCATTTTATCCATAAAGTGCCAGGGATGAGGATGGTTTAGAGATTGGGAAACATCCCAACTTTTGAGACTGCATTTGTGGGAGCTGTGATGATGGGGAAAATAGAATAAAGCACACAAAAAAAATCAAAGATCGAGTAAAGTATAGAGATGAACAATATATACAACTTCCCTTTCTTCTGAACTGCTCCATAAAAAATGTTTTTTCTCAGAAACAATGACTAAATAACAATCCACTACCCTCTTCAAGTTCTAGCCTCAAATATCATAAACTCTGCTAAGAGACATATCTCTGAAACTCATGCCAGCAAGATAACAAAGAAAATGCTGTGACCAATGTTACTGATAAGCTACCACCACTGAATCACTTACCTCATAATACACCCCTCTCAGTGATGCCCATTTCATTAAGGAGGCAGCTAGGAGCTTTCATTAATCTTTAAGTGGGCAATGGAGGATCTCCAACTTCTGCCTCTCCTTTAAATATCCCGGTTCTCATAATCTCCCAGTACCCACATCTTCTCCAATCACTATCATTCCACCCCCTCCTTTAGAGAGAAATAAGAAAAGAATAAGGACTGTTATTTCAGAATCACATCTGGAATGCTGTATTTCCCATTTCAATGGCCACAGAGCAATGAAGGAAAATGCTGAACTCAAGTTTGAGAATTCTTTAAGTGATGAATAACTCTTTCCAGATAGATCCAAGATATCCACAACTTAAGAAAAAGAATGAGCACATAATTATTTAGTTGGCCTTCTCTTTTAATCAAAAACATACTTTGTTACAGAGTTCTCAAGAAAGGTTCAACTATTTTTTTAGCCACAGACTTCAATCAAGAAAAAGTATACAGGAAGCCACAAAGGAACTAACTGGAACTTCAGCTGACCAGTTTTCCCAAAAGCAGAAGCTGAGTGGCTCTTCTCTTGAGTTTTGGCATAGCTGCATTCCTTGGACTTCAAGGGAAGAGACAGAATTGGGAAGCACCAACACCAAATCTGTCCCCAACTCCCCATTCTTCCAAATGGGGCTCTGCAGCCCAACAGATTTTCATCATCTATTAGCATTCATACATTTCCCATAAATCACATATCCAATGCATTGAACCGAACCACATACTTGAAGGGAGTTTGCCAAAGCCATGTTTAGCCTTTTAACCAATCCAAGCCCATGAGTCCTTCTATCAATGACAAGCAGCCTTAGCAATAGCAGCTGGTTTCATCCCTTCCTTTCCAGCTACCACAGAGCTGGCCTCTACCAGGACTCCCCAAACCCCCTCACCCTCAACCCACCCTGGAGGAAGGCTTCCCACGTCCTTGAAAAAGCCAAGTTCACTAATGATACTCATCCAAAGGTAGACTGGACAGAATGCTAAGAGGAATGATCCAGACAAAAGTCATCTATCAAAATGGACCTAAAAAGAGCCAAAAGTGAATTACCATTCACTAAAACTGTGGGGGGTTTTTTTGAGCAATATAAATCATTTTACGTGATGCAGTTCAGAAGAATTTCCCCGTTTTGAAGTATAGAAGGGTTAAGAAACCAAAGACCCAAATTAATGGCCTCTAATATCATTAGGCATTAACAAAAGGTTTTCAATCCATTTTAGTTGAAAAATAATTACCAGCACACAGCACTTAGGAAGATGGTATCTCACATACACCAACTTGAAACACTGAAGGTCATGACTCAGAAAAAGCCTTTATAAATTCTGATGACAAAAATAAAACTAAAGCTTTTTCCTCGTTTGTGAAGTACTTATTGCATCCCCTAAGGTGGTGCCAGGCCTTTGGTTAAGTCTTAAGGACATACTATGTAACTTCTTGTCCATAGGAGAACATAATAAAGTATCAAGCCCAGTCTCATTTGAGTAACATGGAAGTAAGTAAAAAGCCCCCTCAAACAGTGGAGCAAAGGTAAGGAAGAATACCAAAACTGCTGCAAGGCAGGCAAGGTCACTTAGAATTCAGAGCTGGAATAAATAATCTAGTCCAACTCTCATTTTACAGATGAGGCAACTGGTGCCCACAGAAGGCAAATGACTTGCCCAAGGGTCACACATCAAATTCCGGGCAGAGCAGCAAACTAGAGTGTATGACTGTGTGGCTGGATACAGAGCCATTTGTTTCAGGTTGAAAAGGAACATCAACTCTGGACATGTTGAGAAAGCGTTTTAAATAAACTGCATGAAAAATATCCACCTCAACAGAGAGAAATGATTGTCTTCACCGGTTTTCTCCTCCGTTTCTCCTACATTAAAAAAAGAAAAAGAAGCTTCATTCATTCAAGTCTGATGTTAAAATCCCTGAAAGTATCAGCCATTACTTTAGCTACTCCTTGGGGCAGGATATTAGACCCTCAATTTTCCAAAAGGCACCTACAGGTCAAAAGTATCTATAGAGAAGGCAGGCCAGAAGGTAGAACTAAGAGGACACAAAAAAACAAAACAAAAACGGTCCTCTTGTTTTCCAAGATTTATATGTGTGTGGTGTTTGCTAGTGTCCTCCAAGTAAGAGTATTGCCTCTGGCTGTTGATGCTAATTTAGCAACCCTGTAACCCCAGTTTTTCTATGAGCACCACTGAAGTGGAAGCAATGAAACCTTCTAAAACATTACTCTAAAGGGGAAAATGATTGACTCATTTCTCTCCATGCAACCACCTAAAACTCTGCAAGAATCAGCATTTTAAGCAATAAAAGCAGTATCAAATGCCTGTGCACTGAAGTCCTTTTCTACACTTGACAGGAAAGCATCATGGGTTCTGAATGTTCTATTTTCAGTTGTCTTGGATTCCTTGCTCAAGCAGTTAGAAATAACGAATCAGAAAGGAAAGAATAAAATTCTAAGGGGAGGCATACTAATAAACACATAGGAAGTGGTAGTTGTTGGAAATGAAAACCAGAAGATGAAAGGAGGCTTAAAAACACTAAAATTTCAGAACTAAATAGTCTGGAACCATTTAGTAATGGCAAAATAGTTTGTCTTAAAGACCCTGAAGCCCACAAATAAAGCACACAAAAAAATGTTTTATCCAGTATATTTTCTGAAATACGTATTAAATAAATCCATCAAAAAACGGCGTTTAAAAAAAAGACAGTTTTCCTGCTTAGTGAGGCAAGTTTGTAGAACACTTCATTCCACAGCGACACCAGATAAACCCCAGCAGCACTGGGACAAGCACTGGGGATAAGGATGGGCCTAGAATGCTACTATGGATAAAGCCCCTGACTTTTTACACCCTTCTTGATATAATAGAAAAATTACACAGTTATCAGAAGGAAGAAAATGGAAAGGCTTGTGTAAGACTCTCACAGCTATTCTCTATCTTGCAAAGAAGGATTTAAGGGATTATTTACAGATCACTAGCAGCAACAAGATGGATTCTGCCTTTAGGGGGAAAAGGTATTTCTTCAAGCTGAGTGTTACGTGCCCCAGTGACAAGAGTTGTTAATTAACTTTATAGGTAATTGCTTTCATATACTTTTTTGCCTCCGTAACCTAAATTCACATTTACCAATCTGCTGTCAATGAATTAATAGTTTACATGATAACAAAGCAACTATAGAAACTATCAAACACATCTCTGCCTTACTCAGAATAAAACTGCTCCTTCCAATCGGCTTTGAAAAAGGGTCTGAATTAATCTGATTTTGCATAAAACAGCTAGTTAGTGACTATTTGACTATTCACCAGTTACCAAGAGACGTGCAGCAGAAATACTTCCCCTCCAGATACTTAAGGAGCACTATGGGAAAAATGTACCATGTCTTTTTCCAGATAGCCACAGTCAAAAAGATAGCTGCAACACACCTTCCTACAATTAACCAACATTTTTAAAGTAAGGTATTTATCATCGGGAAGACAGAACATTTTACTTTGCCTTCAAAATTTCTACTACAAACCACACCATTTCCATAAAAATTGATTTTTAACTCTGAAATACAACACAGCTAATACTGTACTGCTACTTGGATGTTCCAGGTATAGTTATCCTTAAGCCAGACCATCCAATCTGTAAACCTGTAATGTTTGTAGAAGGAATGGGTAGGTGATCTAGTTAGTGGTAAAGGGAATAGAAATGAGCCATGTTTCTGGAAAAGCAAGATTACATGGCCGTGATTTTTTATCATTACTACTGTATACTAGCAGTAGTAAACTGTAGAAAACAAAATAGATCCTGCAAAAGAATTTACTCCCTGACAAATAAAGGCAATACCATTAAGGACTCCCTTTGATAATGCAAAGAAAGGCACAAGACAGATCTGCAATGGGTCTCACACTGAAAGTACCTGGTTCACTTTTCATTCAGTTTTTACTGAAATTCAACATTCTCAGAGTCTTTGAGATATAAATTATTGGAAGAAAACCACCCTAAGCCACACCCACATAATAATCAGATTCTACAAACTACAGAAACTATTTTTTCCTAAAATGGACATAAAATTTTAAACTAGTAAGATTCCTCAGTCTTACTCATCAAAGATGACCACCTCTAAAAAATAGAAATACAGTTTAACAACCAAGCAGTCAGGAATAATTGATAACATACTACAAGTTTTCTCAAAATCATGTGACAAGCTAGGTAAAAATATAAGCAATTCGTAACTAAAAGTACGTTCATATTTTATGGCTCTTAATACAAAGAAACCAAGACAGGTGGCTTGGCTCCAAAGAGATACTTCTTAGTAAATATTTTCAACACTCTCTGAAGATGACTAAACAGGAAAATCTTCCCTAAAGTAGAAAAAAGGCAACAGAATACACCATTGCACAGCTAAGGTTCTAATCAAGTAATTTGGGTTAAAAACTCATTTTAAAATTCCCTCCTCTTCTATTCCTCTTGCAGAGTCAAATAAACCTAAAGACAAAAATTTCTCGAGAAGGTATCTTTCTATAATTCTGCCAATAAAACTTACATAGATAAAAATTAGGACTTCCCTCTAAGTATTTGTGAATACTTAACAATAGAAATGAATTGGTAAAGAGGCTATTTAAAAAAACAAGATGTGTAACTTGGATTGAGGTCTGTATTTAAATAACAGCAGTAAGCACTCGGGTTTCTAGGACATCTTATCAAGACCTCTGAGCAAGGCCATAGACTTATTCCTCTCAGTTGGTATGAGGTCTAATATGTCCACATGTTTCTAGAGTTCAAATGTGTAACACATCTTAAAGAATTTTAGAAAGCTTAAAAAAGCCCTCAAGCAAAAAGTAAAAGCATCTGAAAGACAATATTTGATTTCATTTCACTCTATCTATCCTGCAAAGAATTTCTTTGTCTTACAAACAATCAGGATTATTTTTGCTACAGTAGAAGAAAAGTTAAAATTAAGCAACTCTGTGATACACATGTCCATGGAAAAGTCCTGGTAGAGTATGAGGGAAAAACCAAAGCTGCCCAATACAACTGGCTATTGCCTGTCATTTAGTAGAAGGTGTCTTGCCACTGAAATTGGACTCAAAAGTGCAAAAGAAATATTTTTAAAAATCAAACCTAGAATTCAACTGTGCATGTTGAGATTCAGTTTTATTTATGCTACTAACTAGGTAAAAAGCATACATATTGTGTCTGTGGTACAGTCAATACATCTGCAACTTTTCTACTTAAATTTTCTATACAAAGTCACTGCAGATTGATATGATCATTGATGGCAAAGGGCTTAGAATAACCAAAAGGTATAAAAAAGTTTGCAGTCTTGCCCCAAGATACAAAAACTGAATTTTAAACATGGCATAACATACATGATTTAAACAGTATATGAAAAAAAAGTCACACATCAAATCAGGTACAAAAATATCCAAACTACCTATTATGAACTGCAATGTTTCCATTATTCTGCACAGTATTTAACATAGAATTTAGCAGTTTCCAAAATACTCATTATTTAAGCATTTGCCACCTTTGCAGAACAGTGAGATATTAGATAGCGTGACACTGCTTTTAGTGTTTTTAAAAATACAAAACCTTTCCCTACAAATTAATGAAGGAAAAGAAATTCCTCTTCTAGGGTTCTTAGTAACCAACCTTGTGCCCAGAAATACAGAAGAACACATCTACTGTTTAACAGGGCAAAAGTATACTTACTGATAAATATTCATTCGATAGGTACAACAAATGTAATTTTAAATGATATTTGTCGGTAATTTTAAGGAATTTTCAATATACACACAGATTAGTGTTTTGCCTTGGCAAATTAAAACAGGTTGCAATACAATGTGAATTGAAATCATCTTCACTAGTTTAACTTGCAAAAAATATTTTGGATAAAAGGTTATAATACATTACTATCTTTTTAAACACAGAGTAAAGTTGCTCTTAATAATATTAACTCACCCACATGGCACAGTATCTTGGAATAAAGTATGTTTGACAATAACAATTTGCACACAAAATAAAATAGGTGAATTAACTTTTGAGAACTTCTCTGCTTTTAAAATCAGCAATATTGAATTTATTCTGCAGAATAACACACACAATGATGTTCTGCATAAAAAAGGCTCTAAGACATTTTAAAGGGTTAAATTTCCCAGCACTGGAATGACTCCTTCATACATAACTGGTGAAGATTTAATAAGAATGTGTTCTTCCTGATCTTCAAGCTCTGAGCAATGCCTGAAAACTTCTAAATAGAAAAAAAAATGGTTTTAATGCAGTTTCTGTCTGCTAGGAGCAAGGCAGCAAACACATTTCTCAACCCTTTATGAAAAGATAAAGCAGAACAAAAATGAAATAGGTCTTCCGATTATAAACAGGATTGTATTTTATAGTCCACCATCCTGATAATGGTAAGGGGCCCCACAGCGAGAGGCCTCAGTCTAAAGGTTGTGGATCTGCAATAGGCATGGTATGAAGTACTTCATCTAGAAGTTGGAGGGCCCGGTGTAAGTGAATCTCAATCCAGCAAGGTGTTTCTTTGATACTCTGTCTTGGGTAATCAGGTCCCCAGCCTTTCACAAAGCTCATCCTGAGTATGCATAAGCGACGAAGATCATCTACGCCAATGCCGGCAGCCGCTGACAGACCTATCAGAAAAGTTTGGAAGACATCAGAGGGAGAGGGTGATCTCTTTCCATCCTCCCTACATTCTGATTTATGTTCCTCAGCATGTAACTTCTCTGTCAAAGTGCCAAGAAATAAGTGTAAACCTAAACTTTATCAACAAGAACTGAAAACTTTTGGTTAAGGCAGTTTACATTCCTGTGTCTTCTAGCTACCACCAATAAAAATTACCACAATCCACCACCACCCCATCTAGTTTTCTCCTTAGAGGTGGAGATGAGGGGATAAGGAACAATTTGTTTTTAATAGGTAACACACACCCAATAGGTTGGTTCTAAGAACCTTACTATCTAAACAGCCTACTTCAGAATAAGGCATGACTAATAATGACAGTTAATATGTCTGGCTAAGTAAGACCTCTTAGATGACCCAGATGATGTCTTCCTCTCAGTTTCACAGTATAACAAAGATAATACACAAGGGGGGAAACAGATGAGCATTAAAAAACTCAGTACTACTTATAAATTCTTTAGAAAAAAACATGTTTATAGCATCAAAACTAGCAAATTAATGGCTTAGATGCCCAAATTTAAAAAAAAAATCTAATGAGTATGTCTTGTCTATGTCTAAATTGTAAACTCCTGAACTTAAGGTACAACAGAGACTCTGCATCTAATTTTCCAGTTAAAACATACAGTCACATAGTCAATCTGCATTAATCAATATTACCATGAAACTAATGGGAGGAATTTGCATGTACTGTACAGAAACCTGCAGGGCCACTGCAGTTTTCTTAGCCAGTGTGATTTGCTTACCACACTGAAGAGGTTAAGAACAGGGGTTGAATGAATCACTAGTTATGCCTTCAGACGTGGAAGATGGGTGCCACGTGTTTCCATCAAAAAGTCTATAGTCAGGAGTTTAACTCTGCAGTAAAAAATTCCCCATCAGTGTGAAACCTGGCACATAGTTCAATTTTACCCTAAAATTAAAAAAAAGTCTACAAGTTATCAAAATACCACCCTCACTTAGTTTTCTCTCCAAGCTTAGCATTCTACTTTTAAAAAAACAAACAAACAAACAAAAAAAAAACCACAAAAAAACAGAAAAACTGGAGAGGCATCCAATTCTAAAATTGAAATATGCTTCCTTAATAGAATCAAGCCAAGTACTTCACTGATTACAACCCACCCTGGCTGGTGAGGCAGGAGTTACAACAAAAAGAGGAGATGGACCAATATAACATAATAATGGCCCCCTTTATCCCATACTCCTTTTTTGATACAAAAAGAATGCAAACAGGATCATATCTTACTTAGGCAAAGGGCAACTATTACAGAAAAAACATGTTTACAAATTCAAAAATGTTATTCCCTGTAAGAATTTTAATTTCTATCATTGCTTTAAAAAAGTAATCAAGTGAGTGGATCAAGATAAAATGCCACTATTAGACTTTAAGAAAAATAATCAAAAGCATACTTACTAATAGCTGGAGCTATTCCACCTACTGATCCAGGACCAGGGATGTTTCCTGCCACGGCTGCTGCTTGGGCGGCTGCTGCAGCTTGTGCAGTGGCCGCCTGCTGCTGCATCTGTCGATGACACTGACGCAAGTCAAAGACCTGTTCAAAACAAAGTGTATATTTAATGTTATGAGTCCCTTAGGAAAGACTACATATACTAAAAATCAATGTGCAATTTACTGAAAATTCACAACTTCATTTTTAATCTTTCACATGAAGAGAATTTGTTAAAAATTTCAAATTTCTATACAGACTGTAATTGGTATAAAACTAATTAGGAAAGGTGGCCCAGAGCTCACCAAGAGGTACATTTCATTATCAGGATGACTCTGACTGCACAGACCTCTATATCTTTTACGTAGTTCAGTGTGGGCCTGCTGTCACTGTCTTTGTGAAAAACCACCCATCTGTGGCAAATGAACAGTAAAGAAATCACACCATCCTTTCATAACCAAATTGCTGAGTTTTCTTTAGGCTGGAGTTGATGACTTTGGTCACCTGACCAACATCTTTTCTTACCAGTCTTTTATCATTCCTTCTATTTGAAAGAGTATAACAAATGGCATTGTCATTATATAAGAAAATAGCTACATTTTTTAGTGATGTGTAGGTAAGTACCTAGTTACAGAATAGCAAGACTACCAAAGCATGTCTTCAAATACTCCAGAGAAGGGGAGAAAAGGACAGATCAAGCAAATATAAAATCTTAACTACTTCATCTAAGTAAAAGGTATATGGGATATCATTAAACCAGTTTCTGACTACTTTTCCGAACATTTGAAAATGCTCATAATTTTAAAAGAAAAAAAACTCAGCTTTATCCCATCAATGGCGTCTGCTAATTATATGGATTAAGTTTCTTAAACTCTCTGGGGCCTTAATTTTATGTATAAGATGAGAATGCTAAGTATACATATTTCCTTAGGGTTACTATAAACTTAGCATAGTATACAGTAAGCGGTCAGTAAGTGTTACTTATTTTGATTTTGGCCTCCTCAGTAGCCATTTTTCTTTCAACATGAGTTGGTCAGTAATTTCAGTGTTCTTTATCAAGCAAGCCAAGCACTGGAACAGTAAGGTAGGAGATGCTATCACTTCTACTTCTATCCTCGTAAAAGTACTAGAATGTTCTTTTAATAAGCAACAAATAATGGAGTGCTGGGGATACAGCTCAGTGGCTCAGTGCCTGCCTGGCAGGCGCAAGGTCCTGAGTTGGATTCCAAGTACCCAGAAAAAATTAAAATTAAAATTAAAAAATGGATAATGACATCACCGTTTTTTCTGAGAAAAACCCATCTTCCTAAAATATTATACTTGCTTACATTTTTTTAAAAAGCACAGGAAGGTTTATAAGCTCAGCAGCATAGCACCTGCCTGGCAAGTGCAAGGTCCTGAGTTCAATTCCTAGTGCTCAAAAAAAAAAAGGAGGGGCTGGAGATTTAGCTCAGCAGCACAGCACCTGCCTGGCAAGCGCAAGGTTGTGAGTTCAACTCCTGGTACCGGAAAACAAAACAAAACAAAAAAAGGCACATGAAGATTATGCAAAAAAAAAGCAGTCACCTGCAAAAGTTGTAGGAAGAGAGACAAGGAGACTAGAAGCATGACTGCTCAGTCACTAGGCTGAGATCTTAAGAAGGCATTATGTAGCACAGCACAAAGTAGGCGCACTTGAAAAGCTAAACAACTCTACAAGCACTTTTTTTAAAAAGAAAAATGGTAATTAACTTGCTTTTTAGAGTTTAAGGTTCACAACAACACTGAACAGAAAGTATATAGAGTGCCTGACCTCACATAAATCTCTCCTAACTACCAACATCTCTACACCACTGTGGTACATTTATCATAATCAATAAAGCTGTACTGACACATCACTATCACCTGAAGTCGACAGTTTACATTAGGGGTTACTCTTTAGCGCTACTTTCATAAGTTTGCACAAATTTATAATGACATGTGTCCAACACATTACTTCATATAGAATAGTTGCATGTATTAAAAATCCTGTGTTCTGTCTATTCTTTGCTCCCTCCCCACTAAGCTCTAGTAACAGTCTCAACTTCTGTCTCTATAGTTTAGATATTTGCAAAATATATAGTTGGGATAATACAGTACGCAGCCTTTTCAGATCAGTCTTTCACCTAATAATACACACTTAAGTTTTCCTTTGTTTTTCATGATAGCTCACTTCTTTTTAACACTGAATAATATCCCATTGTCTAATGTATTACAGTTTGTCCATTCACTTAATGAAGAATATCTTTGTTGCTTTCACGTTTTGGCATTTATGAATAAAGTTGCTATAAACATCTGCATGCAGGTTTCTGTGAGAACCTAAGTTTTCAATTCATTTGGGTAAATACCAAGGAATGTGACTGCTAGATTGTGTGTAGGAGTATGTTTAACTTTATAAGAAACTGCCAAACTACCAAAATGGCTATACCATTTCCTCTCTCACTAGCAATGAATGAGAGCTCCACATCCTTGTCAGCATTTGGCATTATCTGTATATTCTCTTTTGGCCATTCTACTAGGCAGGTTTATAGTGAAATCTCTCTCTATTTTCTTTAATTTGCAACTCCCTACTGACATACACTTGTCATGAATCTATGGTAACACCTGCAATTGAATGCACTTTCAGATGCTTGCTAGCCATCTGTGTATCTTTTTCACAGAAGTCTGTTCATTTATCTTGCCATTTTTAAATAAAGTTGTTTCCTTTTATTAAGTTTTAAATCTCTACATTTTAGGCAACCACTGGGAAATACTTTCTTCCTGTTTGTGGCCTATCTTTTCATTCTCCTGCTAGTCTTTCACAGCAGTCAATTTTAATAAAGTTCAGTCAATCATTTTTCTTGACTCATGCTTTTGATGCTGTCTCTAAAATATCACCATTAAAGTCATCTAGGTTTTCCCCTGTTAGCCTCTAAGAGTTCTATAGTGTTGCATTTTACATTGAGATCTATACAACCCGATTTTTTGCTTTTAACTAAGTATGGTACATATGTAATTACATTATCTGGAAGTGGAATATAAAGCTTATTTATAAATCTTTAAGGTTCAAATATGCTTAACATTCTCTCATAATGAATCATAACAGCCAAGTAACTGTCACATATGGACACAATAAAATTATCTTATAAATATGTTGTTTTAGCATGACTCTATGCTAACACCTGCAATATGTATTAGAAGTAAAGATGACATTTGCTCACTTTATATGAAAATGCAATAAAAATTACTTATTAGGCACTTAAGCAAAAGTTCACAGATTATTTATGTTATTACAACATTCAAGTAGAAGATTTTAAATTACTCAGTTAAGCTCACCTATGTTGAGACCTGGGTTGCCTCATTTTCAATCATAATTTACACATGATACATGACAGATTTCATCCCTTATCCTGGATGGTAAAACTAAGTATTATTGAAACAGTAACATCTTCCTTTCAGAACTTGACTAAGTTGTCAATGAAACAATTCACAGTAACCAAAGGCTTTAAATATTGTTTTTGGCTCAGATCCAAAATATACTTCTAACCACTATTCCTAAGTTAATCAACAACCTGACTCTGCTTTCATTTATCTGTTTCTTGCAGCTACTCATATAAGTTTATTACAAACATTAACACAGGTGGGTGGTCTTACAAAGATCACTGTTAATATCCTTAGGATATCCTCTTCAATCAGAAGTCATATTTTCCCATTTTTTTTTTCATAAGGCTTACTTGCAAATACTGAACACAAGGAAACCGTAATTTTTTTTTTTTTTTTTTCCTGGTACTGGGAACTGAACTCACGACCTCCTGCTTGTCAAGCAGGCACTGTGCCACTGAGCTAAATCCCCAGCCCAGGAAACCGTAATTTAGAAGGAGAAACAGATATGTTGCTGGTATAGACTCTCCTAAACATCAAAAATGCTTGTCAAGTAACCTGACCTACAGTTAAAAAACAGTATGTAGAAATTGGAAATAAATGCAAGTGGGACTCATACTACCCTATAACCCACCCTACTGCCTCCTCTTGAATGCATCCTGTCTCCTTCCCTTAACTCATATGTAGTTCTGAAATTAACCTGGTTAAATATCATCAGAGAAATGCAAATCACAACAATGAGATTCTTCACATTCACTAGGATGAGTTTTAAAAAAAGAACAAGTATTGAAAATACAAAGAAATTTGAACCCTCATACACTGCTAGTGGGAATATAAAATGGTGTAATCATTTTGGAAAACAGTCTAGCAGATTCTCAGAATGTTACACATAACATCACCTTGTGATCTGGCAGTTCTAATATTAGATATATACCTGAGGGAAATGAAAACACATGATCACATAAATACATGCACATGAATGTTCACAGCAAGATTCATAACAAAGAAATAGAAATCTGTATCTCCATGAACTGATGGACAAACAAAATGTGGACTGTGAAATATTATCCAGCCATAAAAAGAAATTATGAATTGATATTCTTATAAAGATGAAGCCTGGAACTTTATGCTTAGTGAAAGAACCAAGTCGCCTAATTGCCTCCTCAGTATTCGATAGCCATGATGAAGAGGCGGCCAAGGAGAGAAAACAAACAGACCGAGAAAAAGCAGCTGCTTTTGCTGCAGCACTAAGAGAAACAGACCCCAAGTCTGATTCCCAGGGCTCTAAGAAGAACTCGATGACTGCATTCATCTGCTACCACTGTTAAACGCCAGGCCACCTCAAGAGGAACTGCTCTAAGAGGCCCCCTAAGCCATGCCCTGAATGCAAAGATGACCACTGGAGATCGGTCTGCCCTCTGAAGCGGAGGCTCCAGAACTCAGACCCATCCTACCAGTTAGTCCAACAGGAATGACGGGGCCTGGGGCATACTCTGCCTTCTCCCTCTGGCCAGACTGTCATCTCCATGGAGGAGCCCTGGGTAACCGTGACTATGGAGAAACAAGAAAACAGCCTGTTGCTAGTCACAGGTGCAAGTCTCTTGGTCCTTCTTTTCAATCCTGGCCTTCCTTCCAGCCGTCACACCTCAGTGACAGGAGTCACTAGTGAGGAGGTAATGCACTACTTTTGACAACCCTTAGGCTGTTACTACTTGTTAGATCCTTCTTGCGTATCTCTGTCTTCCTGAGAAACCACTTTGAAGATACCACCGTGTATTACAGTAGCAATTGGTATTTTCCTACTAATCTATCCATAGCTCTGTAATGCTTGTATTGTTCCTATCCTATTTCGTAAATGGATGTATGTTTATTATTATGTGTTTCCTACAACAACCATTGAGAATAGTTAATGATTATTCAATAGGTCACTCATGTATAGCTCTATTTATTTTCTTTAGAAGCCACCTCTTTTGTCTGTAACTCACTATTGTCTGTTTTCCCGAGAAACTATCTTATAGATAACAATATGTAAAACAATAACCACTGATAATTTCCTACCACTTTGTCTGTAATTTGGTAAGCCCCCCCATTATTATGTTATCCTTCCTTTACTCTTTAAAATAAAAAAATAAAAAAAGAACCAAGTCACCTAAGACTACATTACACTAATTCATTTATAGGAAATGTCCTGAATAGGCAAATACATAGAAAGTAGATTAGTGGCTGTCAAGGATTTTGTGAAATGCTGCCTGGGGGCGATAGCTGAAGGGACTGGGGATTTTTTCTGCAATGAAAAAATGTTTTAAAACTGAGTGTAGAGATGGCTGCATAAGTCTATTGATAATACTAAAAAGTAGTGAGTTGGACATTTTAAATGGGTAATTTGCGTGGCATGTGAATGATGTATCTCCGTCAAGCTGCTGAAAACCAGAACTCTCAGTCAAGCAACACAAAACAAAATAGTGGGGGCTGGGGATTTAGCTCAGCAGCAAAGCACCTGCCTGGCAAGCACAAGGTCGTGAGTTTGATTCCTGGTACTGGAAAAAAAACAAAAAAACAAACAAAATAGTGGAAAAGGGGGGAAAGTAGGGGAACAGGGTGTAAAAATGATCAACATTTGATATGTATATGTACCAACTGCCCAAGGTGAATGTAATTACTGTGTGTTACAAATATATACTAATAATTTTTTTAAAAGACTTCACTTTTGAGAGTAAAAGAGCAAGGCACCTAAGGAAAAGTCAAAAACACCTCATTCAAGCTTATAAAATGCCATTTCATTACATCAGATTTTTATGATATAAGATGACTATATCATGAAGGGGGACATCAGTATCTAAAAAGAAAACAAAAATCCTTAATTCTAGCTTCTTAGCTTGTAAAATGAAATTTTGATTCTCCAAATCTGTTTTCCTCATTGCAGTGAAAAAGAGCAGTATGTGTGTATGTATCTATTTTCAATGTGTGGGCAGCACTTGTTCTAGGTGTTCACATTACTTATGCGCAACTCATCCCAGTACAGTATCATCCGTGGTGAGAATATATCTGGCAAACTGAACAGTAATTTACATATCCTTCAGTTACTGCTGCCCCGCCAAAATTAACAAATAAAGAAAATGTCAATGGTCAGATTTAAGGTATACTTATATCTGTCTCTTTTTTGGCTAATTACATTCTTACCAGTAATACAGTTGGTGAGAAGAATTAGTTTTAAATCTGTTTTTATGAAAATATGAAATACTCTTTACTCCAAATATCTTGTCCCACAAGACATTCATCTACTGTCTTGAAAAAATTTGAGATCACTATAAAATCTGCCCATGAGAATGATTTATCCAGTTATGACTTGCCTCATACCTTGGAGCTTTTCAACCATTTGTACCAAATCAGACATAATATATTTATTTGACCATCCAAGAAGTTGGTTATGTAAAACTCATTATTTAAGGTCAATTGTCTTAACTACCACTCCACATTTTATACATACTATTTGGCACATAGTATATACACAATACTATATAGTACCCTATCCATTTACTTCAAATTATACAAGTAATCCAGAGATATCCAATCAAAATGTATGATTGGGTAAATATAACCATCATTTCTCAGTACTCCAGACACATATAACAGAAAAAGTTAAAGGGATACCCTGTCCAGGCCAATAATGAAACTCAGCTCAGGTACAAGGGACTAGTAATAGCCTAAATAATCTTGAAAAAAGAACTCACATTTCTTTATTTCCAAACTTACTAAGACTCTATGGTAACTGAAAAATAAGGACATATGAAGAAAAAGGGATAAATCAAGGTATATCATGTACAGGTACAAATTCCCTACGATGAATGTGATCATTGTATATACCTACACTGTATCAATAAACAATTAAATTTTTAAAAAAGAGCAGACATACATACAGATCAATGAAATGGAATTGATATGTCTGAAATTTTCATATAAAAAATAAAACAATCTCTTTTAACTGAACTGTAACTGAAAATGGCATAGTAGGTTTGCCACTATAAGGCAATAAAGCAATTTCATTTTTATAGATACTATTTGGTTATATTATTTACATCTTCAACAACTTCTCAGGAACAGGCGATTCTTAGGTATACATTTCCTTCCACTAATGGAACAAGGAAGATATTCAGGAAGATTGAAAAAATATGAAACTAATAATGAAAAATACCATAGCGTTCTCTAGGTCTTAATTTGAAAAATTATTAAATTTAGAATTCCCTTCTACAAAATCCTAAACATCAGCTAAGATGAAATTGCCCAGCCTGATTTAGCAATTTTATGTAAAATGAATGTAAGTTTTGAGGTTTCATTCAGTATTCTCAAAGGTCTACATATTAACTCAAAACATTTAACAATCTGATAAAACAACACTAGGGCAAAAAGGCAACCACAAAACTAGGTAACTGATCATATCAGCAAATGCCCTGAGGAAATGTGTTTTATCCTCAAAACAAACATAATTTTTTATTATGTATTAATATAAGTCATTTTTCTATCCCTCTGTCATCTCAATTCTTTAACAAACTTTTCTAAGTCTAAACTATTTAAATAGAATTGCAACTAACCTTTATATATGCACTTGGGTAGATCTTATGAACAGCATCGCCAGGTGCACGTCCAGCTTCTCTGTCTAAGTAGTAACTCTGTACAAAGACCGCATGGTCACTAAGGCACCTGACCCAAACATCACCTTCACCTTTACATTCCAACTGCACACCTTTGCCTATGTGCAACCTTAGAAAGACAAACAGAATTACATTTCATCTTAGGTATTTACAAATAAGTTTCAGTTCAAATTATATTACAGATTCAATATTGCAAAATTAAAAAGAATAAAGATAGAACAATGTAACATCATGCCCCAAAGATACCCATTGTTAACATTTTATATTTCCTTCTTTCCTTTCCTACTCATATATAGTAATGATGAACACATTAGTGATTACTATGTGTTGGGAGCATTTACAATGAATTCTCATTTAACCCTCATTACTCAATCTGGTTGAGTATTATCATTTCTATTATGAGGAAACAAACTTATAAACAAGTCCAAATCAATCCTCACTAGCAACATATGACTATTTAAATTTTAAAATCAGTTCTGTAATCACAAGTCATATTTTAGGTGATCAAAAGCTATATGCAATTAATGGTTACTGAATCGAACAATGCAGATGTAAATCATTTCCTTCTCACAGAAAATTCTACTAGCAAGCAGAGGCATAGAAAGTAATTTCCCAAGGTCATGTATCAAGTAAAGCAACCAAGACTGTATACTTATGCACACACACATTCTTAAACAATTAAGATCATACATGAGCTAAAATGTTTTCCTGTAATATATCTTAAACATTTCCATTTTGTTACATAAACTTTTTATTAATGTTTTGATTATATAAAAATGAAATGTTACCATAATTTAATTTACATAATTTCCCCTTTGCCAGTTTTTCAACATCACAAATAACTTTCAGAAACATCTGTGCTCATGTTACATTATTTTCTTATAACAGATTTGTAGAAATAATTCATTATCAGAAAAATGAAACCTAGTTTCCAACTGGATTCCTAAAGGTCTAGCAACTATTCAAAACACAGAAACCTCATTATTTTTTACCATTATATACTAAGCAAGCATCTCTATTTAAAACAAAACCTTACTAATTTTGAATTTAAGGTCATCTTTATTCCTTTATCTATATTTAACAACTCCATATAATGCACATGAGAATACAATCTCAAATAAAAGACAACATACTATGCTCAATTTTTAAAATAACTCATAATACAATCAATACCTTGCTCTTTCAATGGCTTCTGTTCTGTGGACATTGGAGAGTTGACCCAAGCAAAAGCGATCTCCTCCAGAAGGATCCACGTATCCATCAACAGTTACAATAGGGCAGCTTGAAGGAACCTTAAACGTCTCTCCTACCTGAACATCCATTTCAAAGTAAGCAATGGAACACCAATATTCAGGAGCTATAAGAAATAAATGAAGAAAAAAAAAAAACCACCTACGTAAGAAAGGTAAGAGGTCTTCACCTTCACTCCACAAGACTTAAGTTTTTCCGAAGAGAAAGGATGACAGAAGGGGAAAGGTAAATGAAACACACTCAAAAGAACTGGACTAAAATAATGCATTGAACAGCAGGAATTTCTGTCTTTTTTTATTTTCCAGCTCAGTACTGAGGACTACTCAGCAATCTGGTTCTTACATCGAAGAACCAAATCAACTAAGAATTTAAAGAACACAAGCAAGCCAGGCACTGTGGTGCACTGCTGTCATCTCAGTACTCTAGAAGGCTGATAAAGGAAGATGGAGAGCTTGAACCCAACCTAGGTATCTTAGCAATTAACAAAGGGCTGGGATATAACTCTATGAGAAGGCCCTGGGTTCAACCCACAGTACCACCAAAAAAAGAAAAAAAAAAAAAACTTTTTAAAAATGATGTTTTATCTGACTGCATATATTTTCCTATGTTGTCTGACTTTGATTTTTTTTTTTTTTTTTTTTTTTTGGTACCAGCAATTAAAGTCAGGACCTAACTTTGATTTTTTAAAAGCACTCTAACCCCACGATGTATTACAGGGAAGTGTTCATGAAAAATATCAATCTGTGATATGTTTTTATAGATCCCAAATTGAGAAAGAGTACATAAGCAAGTTAGCCATCACAGTCCTGTTTTGTTTTTTTTTTTTTGGTTTTTCTCCGGTACCGGGAACCGAACTCACGACCTTGCGCTTGCCAGGCAGGCGCTGTTTTGTTTTTTGTTTTTGGTTTCTCTCCGGTACCAGGAACCGAACTCACGACCTTGCGCCTGCCAGGCAGGCGCTTTTGCCGCTGAGCTAAATCCCCAGCCCCGCCATCACAGTCCTGAATCAAGGTTAATTACACTCTACACAGTATTTATACATTGGAATCCTCCATTATCTCATGAATGAAAGGTCATGTCATATATCTCAAGTGCTATTTTCAGAAAAGTCAATCCTGTTACTAGTATAATTTTAACTTTAAATATATTTAGTGTATTCATTTGAACAAGTGATTTAGAATAATTTTAAATGACTGGGGGGAAAAAGGCAGTACTTCATTTAGATGGCAAATATAGCCAATTAACTACTTCTAAGATTATTTGAACAGACTGAACCCATATTGATGAAAATTGTTTGATTTTCCTTTTTTAGTTTATGTAACAGATATCTACAAGGGCATCTATCTAGGTGTCATTTAGATACTGCGTGCACAGAAGTAAATAAAACACACAAAAGTCCCTACTCAGGGAGTTGAAGGGGCAGGCAAATGAGCAAATAAGATAACTCAGGTAATGATAAATATTGTGAAAAGTATTTTTAAAAAGGAAGAAAATCAAGAGAACAAAAGATGCCTGGAAGAACATTTTAGCCTGGATGGTAGGGGATTACCCTACCTGAAACATTAAAACCTAAAAACCTTGTATGTATGTGAAGACTATGGAAGGAAGATTTCAGAGAGAAAAGCAAAAGCACATAGTAAAAGAGAAAGAAATAGAGAGAAGAAAAGGAAAGAAAAAGAAAGAGCAAGTGAGTTCACCCAGTGCCATTTATTACAAAATGAAAGGGAGAGTGGTACAGCTTGTCTGTAGGTCTACCTTGCACATCAATGTATTTATTCCAAACTAGAATTTGAAACAATAAAATTTCAACCATCTAAAAAGGTATTTGAATGATTTCTAAAAATCACTGCAATCTCTTTAGGAAATTTCTAAAGTAAGTATCACAAAACTTTATTTTAATTATACTTTCCTCTTATAAAAGAAAGTCACTGTATTCTGGTGTATGTTCAATGTCAGGGTAAAGGTCCGAGTTCCCTTAGAAGCGAAGCACAACTCATTTTGGCCACAAGAGGTAGCCAATGCCGTATAACTGTAAATATTTCCACCCAATCTTAAAGAGAGAAAATATTTTAAAATGGATTTCTTTCCACATAAAATGGGTGGATCTAAGAACCTTCTATCTTAAAAAATAAAATATATATTCTAGAAAATAAAATATATATTCTAGATTATTAGTCCTCTGAGGGAATAGCCGGCAAAATTTTTTTCCCATTTTACAGGTTATCTTTCGACTCTGTTGGATGTTTCTTTTGCTGTGCAAAAAAGCTTTTTAATTTGATATGCACCTGTTTGTTGATTCTCAATAGTACTTCCTATACAACCAGGGTTCTGTTCAAAAGACCTTGCTTATACCTATGACTTTAGGAGTTTTACCTATCTTATCTTCTAGCAATTTGAAATTAAATGTTTTAACATTTAGTTTTTTGATCCACTTTGACTTTGGTTTAGTACACGGTGAGAGATATGAGTCTAGATTTAATCTTCTGCATGTGGACAGCCACTTTTCCCAAAATCATTTATTAGTCTACCTTTCCTCCAATGCACATTTTTGGCTCTCTTGTCAAAGATCAGATAGTTGAATGTGCTTGGGGTTGTTTTTGCAGCCTCTTCTTTGTTCTACTGATCCTCATGTCTGTTTTTGTGCTAGCACCATGCTGTTTTTATCACTATAACTTTGTAATATAACTTCAAGTCCAGGATTGTGATGCCTCTTACTTTGTTTTTGTTACCCAGGACCGCTTTTGCTATTCTGGGTCTCTTCTAGTTCCACATGAATTTTAGGATTGTTTTCTCTAGTTCTGTAAGAATGCTAGTGATATTTTGACTTGGACTACTATAAACCTGTGTATCAATTTTGGATGTCCATGTTTGCTATACTGGTTACGCCTATCCAGGAATAGGGCATGTCTTTCCATTTTCTGATGTCTTCTATTTCCTTTATCAGAGTACTGCATTTTTCACTGTAGAGGTCTTTCACTTACTTAGGTTAATTCCTAAGTAATTATTCTTGGTGCTATTGTGAATGGTATTTTTTTAATTTCTTTCTCAGTGGGTTACTAGACCCCCCTAAGATATAGTACAAGACCCAGTCAAAAAGATTAGCAAGTGAAATGAAGATACTTCATACAAAAAGGTACAAATGGCCAATAAATACCTGAAGAAATGCTCAACATCTCTGACCACTAGAGATATGGTCAAATTAAAACAATACTGAGACTCCATTTTACCCCAGAAAGAATGATCATCATCAAAAAGTCAAATAGTAAAAAATGCTGGCTAGGCTGCAAGGGAAAAAGGATATTTTGGTGAGAACGTAAACTAGTACAACTACTATAGAAATTAGTATGGATATTTCTCAAAAAAACTAAAACTAGAAATTCCATTTGATCCAGCTATTCTCCTCGTAGGTATCTTCTGGAAAGTTCAAGACATTATATTACAGTAATACATGCATACTCCATGTTTATAGCAGCACAATTCATAACAGCTAATTCTTGGAAGCAGCTTGTATGTCCATCAAGAGATGAATGGACAAAGAAAATGTATTTACAGACAATGGAGCACTACTCTCCCATAAAGAAAGATAAACTTGGAAAAAAAAAAAAGATAAACATGAATCATCTGTAGGAAAACAGATGCACCTTAAGACCACAATGTTAAGTAAAATAAATCAGACAAACAAGTATTACGTGGTTAATTATATGAGAAACCCAAATTATAAAGAACAAAATAAAAGATAGTAGGATAGAGTGATAGCTCTTTCTCAAGTGTGAAGGAGATCAAGAGATGGAGAGAGGAAAAAAGGACGGGAGGGGAAGGGGATGAAAAAGGAATTGAGCTGTGTTATGTACATGTACCAACTCCACACAAGGAGTGTAAACAGCC